CAAAGCTGAAAGCTAAACTTTTGCCTACGCATTTGCTGCTGTAAATTCAAATTTATTTTAAAATTCTTTCAACTTATATGATATATTTATATAGTATATGTATGCAAGTAGTAAAATGGTGTTGAATAAAAGGCCGGTTGAACATTTTTATTTTTTTTTTCAAAGCTTTAAATCGTTTAACTACTTTTCGCTGCGCAATAAATGCAACCTTTATCCGATTTCCTAGGGACAACAAAATATACTTCGAAAAATCATTTTTATATGTATGCCCTTACGTTTAGTAGTAAATCTTTCAAGCATAACATAAAAAGAATGTAGAATATTAAATATATATGTATATATGCATACTAAATAAGCGAATAAAAGCAAAAATGTTTTGCATTTTTTATTTCATTTGAATTTTTGCAACCGGCAATCACTGCGCACAGAAAATCTCTGTAAAAAAAAACTTAAAGGCTTCATAAACAGACAATTTTTGTCATAAACGTAGCAAACAAAAAAAAAAATATTCTTAGAAAAGATATATGCAAATACATATAAATTTATATATATATGTACTAGGGTAGTGACAAGGACTAAAAAATCCAACAGCCTGTCCGTTGGGACGCGCCCAGGACGCAGCTATGATGTGCGCAAACACATCGCCTGCTTTGTGCGTGGCAAGCAACAAATGCTGCAAACTATCTACAAATGTGAAAATTAAAATTTTTTGTTTTAAGACTTACACTGTAAAACATTCGCTTGCATGCGACGCACCTTTGCAAGGGATTTTTTAATCAGCAAAATTAATGTGACACGCTTTCGATTGGGCGCTCGCTCCCAGATATTAAATAAAAAAATTGATAAATGTTTGGGGACAAGTATTATTTATTGGTAAATGTAAACAATGAATTACTGTGTATTTTAGAAGAAAATTATATAGAGTGAGGGTAGATAGTATATATACATAGTGGGTGGGATGCAAGGGAAACCAGGGCTTTGACAAAATTGACTAGCAATACGAGTTCAAATCATACTTAGATTCTAGATGTTGAAGAAAAAAATCAGTTTTGTAACAGACAGGGTGCGCAATTGCAGAGGTAGGACATACGCTCAGCTCACTAAATCAATGTGACATAATATGTATTAATATATTCAATGAATGAAGTCGCAAGCAAAAATTATTATTGCATTGTATTTGATTCAAAAAAGTATGTGATGTGATTGATTAGGTCATACCAAATGATGTTTAACCATTTTCTTTACTTATTTCTGAATGTGACGCCCATTAAACTTTCAGTGATGTGATGTTACACGAGATAAGACATGACGACATCACATCATATGACAGAACATCTCGTGCATCATAATCTTCATGAACAGTTGTTATAACAAAAAGAACCATTCCAGCAACGTTAAGTCCTTAGTATGATTATAGTATAATCATTATACATATCCAGCCTTACCGCCAAAAAAACGTAAGCGGTTTTTTTTTAATTTTCAATGCAAAAGCGCATCTAGACGTTTTGAGAGTATTTTTGCATCATAAATAATTTTAATTTTAATTTTTCATAAATAATTTTAATATTGATTTTTTCCCTCTCCCTAAGCGGTTTCATGAGCGCCTTACACCCTGCATGGTTACAAAACTATTCTTTTTTGCTTATTTAATTCTCCCAACCGTCTTAAATTTAGTAAGTAGTACCTGGTACTCAAAAATACATAGTTGCAAAATCAACCTCACCAAACAACATCAACAACATAGCAAACAGTAGCAATAAGTAGCAAGTAAAAATTAGAAACAATTGCACGCAAATATTGTTGCTGTCAACTAACAAATACATTACATATAAAAATATTTAATGATGTATTACCTTGAAAAGTATTTGTCTAACTAATTATTATTAGAAACAAATCTATGTAAGTGAAAGGGGGTGGGGGAGAGCGAGAGCGAGCGCGACCAACTACTCAGGTGTCGCCCAGCGCAAACGGATAGTCTGTCGAAGAAGTAGACGGGTTAGCGAAGTGCCGTTTTGCCGCAATTTGGACACAAATACTTCAATTTTTGCTAATAAGTGCAAGTATGTTTAATAAATGATACATTTAGTAATAGAAGAAGTTTATCAGGCACGTTCTGCAATTCACTTACGAGTGAATTTCAAACACTGAAAATTTGAATTCAAAGCGAATTTGATTGAAATTCACTCGGAATTTAATTGCTGAACCTGCCTGCGTATTTTGCATTTACTAAAATTTCTACCAAATACCCTTTACATAAATTTATTCACGGACATCTTTTGAAAATGTTAGGTACAAATTAGAACAAAAAGTAAAAGAAAAATAGAGCTTAGAAGTTAATGTTATTGATTTTTTTACGATTACAGTGTTAATTTAAAACAAATATGAGTTAGCACTTGCAGCTTTTAGGTTTTCCATCAAACTTGTTTACTCTCCTGCACCGAGAATTTACGTAATTAGACAAATTTTAGCGCGCAACAACGGCACAGCCCTTCTTGGCATTATTTTCATGCCACCCTAATGCCATCCGCTTTGCATTGAGGTACCCACGGCTCGCATAACTCTTTACCAGCGGCATGCGTTAGCCGCCGGTGAGCCACTGCAAGCCAGGAGTCCAACATCAATTTTGCGCGGCCGCAGCCATATAAAAAGCGTACAAATAATTGCTTGACGATACTTAAAAGGTGATGCTGTCATCTCGTATGTAGTATGTATATATGTACATATGTGTGTTACTGCAGCCAAATCACTTGTCACTGTTCATATGCAATAAGTATGTATGTGTATCATTTACATATACATGTAGATACAATATGTTTGAATAAATACGTATTTTAGCACATAACTAATTACACATCAGTAATGTACCGTACCTGGATATATGTATGTACTTAATGATATCGACCCCTTCGCGTTTTTTTTTAGAAATTGGTTTTGTGATCCGAATTTGTTCAAAAAAATTTGAAAACGTTCTCCTGTAAAATTTAGTTTTTGACACATATCCACGATAATTTCACGCAAAGGGGTTGATACATATGTATATTAAATGAATGTATGCATAGTGTACGCTCCTGCTCTGAAAATATTCAACGCGGGCCGCGATGCTGGTAACAGAGGAAGAGGAAGGCCTCCTCTGCGTTGGAAAGACCAGGTGGAGAAGGACTTGGCTTCACTTGGCATTTTCAATTGGCGTCAGTTAGCACAGAAGAGAAATGACTGGCGTGCTGTTTTGGACTCGGCCAAAATCGCTTAGGCGGTTACAGCGCCAAATAAGAAGAAGAAGATGCATAGTGTACGTGTATGATAAAATATTTTTGCTTTGGTTGGGTTTTTTATGAATTGAAAGTTCGGCATTGTTTATCTAGATTTTAATAAACAATTTAAAATGCAAACAATTTGTTATACAAAGATGCCCATATGTATGTGAGTGTGTTCAAAAAAGGAGGAACATAACTAATTTCGACCATCATTAAAAGGAGTTTTTTACACAACACATACATACATATACATAAATTTCCTACTGTGTGCTAGACGCAAAAATAGAAACAAACTAGCTTAGTGTAATCGTTAGGGAAATTTTTTAATTAAATGTTATTCTAGTCAATCAGATAGGCCATAAAAAAAACCCCCTGCCTTCTAGTCAAGCGTAACATAGGAAAAAAACATTACTCTGTTACCTCTAAGTTGTTACCTTTTCAGGAGTTTCGAGGGAATAAGGACTAAACAGTATTTATTTAGAAATATTTAAGTAAAGAAAGACAGATCCAAAAAAAAAACCTGTAATTTCCCAGACAGTTTAAAAACCCCAATTTTGAATCTCTTTTTAAATTTTTGGCATAGGATAAATAACTTCTAAGCTTCAGCTCGGTAAAGCTTGAGTGGTCTTATTGCACTTATTATAATTAAAAAAAAAAAAAATGAATAACAAAAAAATCGAAAATTCTATACATCGTCCGTCACTGCAAAGGTTCTAAATCATCTTTCATAGACTAATCTCAGTATTTCATACATTAGTTTTAAAAATTTCTGGACTCTTCTCTAAAAATTTAACAACTGTCATTTAGGTCGTTTTACATCAATCTCGACGTATGTAGTAAACAGAAAATTGCACACACAATTTATTGAGAGATCGGAAATTTCGGTTAGCCTTATAGATATGCCACCTTTTAGAATGGCCATTAAAAACGTGCAACACAATGTGGGCAACATATACATACTTATGTATATGCGTGTACTTCTATGCACTGCAACATTCCATGTAGAAATTAAAAATAATAAACATAATGCATATAGTACAATTAAAAAATGAATTTTTACGCTTTTTCAAACACTCTTACGATGTGCATCTATCTGGCACATGCGCAGATCAACATGTACCTATGTACATATGTATGCATGTGTATATGCGAGTATGCTTGTGTGCTTGTACGTAAAGAACACCATAACCATAAAGCCGATAACCATAAAATACGAAATTAATATTTTTGTTTCGATTCAATACCTACTCGGTTCGGGGCAGTAACCAATTGACTGTTCATTTATGTATAATTAGCTAATTATTGAAATTCGTTAACTTACATATCAGTGCTTGTTGCTGCTGTTGATTTGGGATTTTAATGTAATTAATTAGGAGTTGTAGATTCATTAGAAAATTATGAAGTCGAAAAATTACGGAAAACTTACTTTTCTACATTCCCACAAAAACACGCAATACAAAATTTCGACACATCGCTTTTATAGCCCGACAAAAAACAGTATACGAACACAAAACTTTTAGGAAAAAAAATATAAAACAAATATGATCGTACGAGGGATTAAAATAATGTGAAAGCTGTAGCGAGAAAAATTTTTAGATTAGGAAATATCACTTACAATTACCGTGTGTTCGATATTCAACGGCTTATTGCTAATAAAATTTGAATGTAAATTACAGTTAATAATTACTATGCATTCTAAAAAGAGGTAAGTAAACATTCGTTTGGTAGGCAACAAAAAGCACACACTTTTTTTTGACACGATGTGGTACATTTTAGGATGAGCAGTACATACGTACGTACGATCAAGGCAGGACGGCAAACGAAAATACAAATTACAACAACACTGGCAACATACCTAATGCCTCACTGGTAGGACTTCGCGGCTCATTCAGCAATCGGAGGCACACCGAGAACTATGTATGTGTGCATATTGAAATCTGTGAAATGTATCAAATTAATATGAGTTGTATGTATGTACATATGTAGTATATATGTATGTAGAGCTTTCTGCTTGGTTACGGCCTTATCCATTAATCTTGATTTAGTTTTCTGTCATTTACATACTAAATACCATACATATGTTTAGTACACTAATTATTGCGTGCTTTGAACTTTTATACTTATTAAACAAATATTACGAAAAACGAAAATTATAGTAAAGAGGGATTGCTTACTCAGTGGCTGTGTGCTACGGTTACGTATGTATGTTTGAGTTTTCTTTTTTATCTTTTACGAATTTTTATTTTATTTTTTCTATATAAGTTAGTCAGTTGCACACGGAAAATAAACTACAGATCGAGCGCATCATCGCAATCGACCAACGTTGTCGTGGACCTGTTAAAAAATTAATATGAATTTAATATACGTACATAAAAAATTTCAAGTGATGAGTGATGGGAAAATTTTTAAGTAAAGACAACAAAAAAATAAATAGTACAGTGCCAAATTATATGAAAATGCAATTTACCATAGTTATGACTGCGATTACCTATGTAAATTTCTAACACAATTCTAATGCATGAAAAGGTGAGGAAAAAGCGTAGTCTACTACGTTATTTTTTTTTATAAATTTAAATAATTTACAGATCATATAAGGTTGGGGAGGTTAGTAGGTGATGGGAGGTTATGTTATGAGTCCGAAAACGGACTGGTAAAAATGTATACACATGTGCACAGATTATAAAAATTTTCAAAAATATCCAAAATTCAAGGTACATTTAAATTAAAATTAAAATTAAAAGGCGCTTTTGAAAATAAATCAAGAATAAAAATATAACCTCATCTCTCAACTTGTTCTTTTTCTGAGTGCATAGTGTCTAAGGAAATGTGTGAATGGGAAGAAGTTATATAAACCAGCAAAAGAGCATTAAAACTTATCCGCATACATATATGTGCATATGTATACAAAATGATTACGACAATGAAAGCTTCAAAAATCAGCGAAAAGTATGTATCTCTAATTAATTTAATTAATTTTTAAATAGTGATTTATGAAAATACCCTGAAGCCAAATTATGTCAGAAATCTAAAAAGACCAGAGACCTAGTAATGGAAAAAGTTGTTATTGGGATTAGTATTATTCAGATGAATATAGTATTTTGTAAGTACATATGTACTTATTATGAATTTATGTACACTCCATGAATTGCTTGTTTTATGTAGTGTCTATATATGCACCACTTAGCTACGGTTGCATGTCATTCATCTATAATGCACTATTGAAAATATATAAACGAAAATATGTATGTATGTACATATGTATGTATGTACGTATGTATGTATACTGTCTGTATGTAATCCATATACAAGGCTATAATACACATTCATACTCAATAATAGTCACTTAAATTACGTATTGGATGCAAAAACTTACGTTTTCTTCTCAATTTATTGCGTGCCTATGTTTGCTTTGCTTTAAATTTTTTTTTGTCTAACCATACTTAACTTTAACTGAAAAAACTCGCTGATAACTAAAAACAAAAACAGAGTACATATTATGCATGTATGTATGTATATATAGGAGTATATGTGTATGTAAATAGCATTATATGTAGGAAGAAATTAGAAACCTAAAGCGAATTCATGTGTAAAAAATGATAACAATTTAAACGGAAAACTAATACATTATATAACTATAATTACTAGCCACCACATTAACCCAAAGCGTATTTGCACATAACTTTTTCTAGTTGGTTAAATTAACGATTTCTTTTTATATGTGTGTATATGTGTATGTGTGTGTGTGCAAAGTACCAGTAGTTCTGCTCCATCCCTCCGCCTGCCTGTTTGGTGGTTGGCTGGGTTCTAGTGCACTTATTAAGTGCATGAGTATGTGTGACGGCACGGCTTTTAGTTAAAATGGCTTATAGCAACAAACTTTAGGTGAAGGGGCGATATTAAGTAGAGTACAAACTTGTTTTCTGTATAAGGCGACAATAACAATGCTGCTTAAATAATAGGCTCATTCATCCGTTGACGACAATACGCTTGCCAGTTTTTTTGCTTTAATCAGCTGGGTGGCATTGCTGCGCTGAAATCTTTTTTATGACATTGAGGTTTCCGTTGTTTTCATTTTCCATTAGTTTAGAAAATTTTTTTGGGTGATGCTAAATGCATTATTGCTTGTTTCCAATTTTATCTTTCAGGTGGATATAATAACGGCATCGGAGTTTCTAAGAGCGGCGTCGACAAACAAATTGGCGGATCACCGAAATCGTGGCATCATTTGCAGTACAGGATGACCGGCTGGTAGCATGACACCCATACCGGGCATCGGCATACCCGGCATTTGTATGGCTTGTACTGGCAACAGACCTGGCAGCGTATGAAAAAGTATTTTAGCATTCATGTTCTTCTCTAAGTTGACTTCTACATATATAAGCGTTTTATTGTACTCACCTGGCATTCCGGGCAAACCGCCTGGTGCACGCAACATATTGCCACCCAGCAACGGTCCATGCGGTCCCAGTGCCATGGCAGGACGCAGCATTGGTTGCATTAATTGCATTTGCCCTGGCAACGGCATCTACAGTGCATCGAAGAATGATAGCAACAGATAAGAGACATAAAAGAAGTAAGTTATTAGCGAATTTTCAGTTCAATTGTTGTATTCGTGTAGGAGCGACAGCAACGGCTTCGCGCACATTTCATTTACACAAAAAATAGCTAACGTTATTTATATTATTCATTAATTCATTTATTTTGATGTATTATAGAGAGTAGTGGTGATATATAAAATAGATATAGTATATATATATAATAATTGTTTTTTCTTCGCATTACAATGAATATTAAAGGCATTTTGGTAATAGAAGTAGAAAGAAAAAATGTGAAAACGTACTTACATTAGTCGTTAAGTACTCACTCTTTCTCTAGCTCTCTCTCTCTCTCTCTGTCAGGAGCGCACCCTCTCTTTTGCACTTTCACACTTTTATTTAAAGAAAACTACTAGCAGAAATGACGTCTTCTATGTATAAAGGTACTAATTATTTGAGAAATAATTTATTTCTTCACGTTCTCTAAACTTTTAATTTCAATTTAAAACATATTTCAAAAAACATTTATGTATACTGAAATTTATTGTAAAAAGTGTGGTTTTGAGGCTCAAAGGGTTAAAAACTTAAGAACCCTTATCTTCTTATTATTCAAAGCTCATGTACTTTTATAGAAAGAAAAAACTCCCTTAGATATGTTGAAATGCATTGGAAAACGCATAGAAAATGCAACAAAACATCCAGCTATGGTAGATGAAGCCTCTGAAACATTGACGTTCCTTGGTGACCAAGGATTGGGAAGGCTTTTATGACGATACAGCGAGACAACAAAGCCTATACTGATTACTAAAAAATGTTTATCGCTGCTTTCAAATTTAAAGTTTATTAGCTGGGACATTTTCTAGAACCTAAAATAGCACCCTAGAATATATCCTATGTCACTGTCCAGCTACCATGGCATTGCTTTAATATCCTGATTGAAAGAAATTACACACCAAAGCGCTTGCAAATTGTTAAAACACAATAAGTGCATTGTGACCAACGAGTCAATGACTAAGGACCAGATCTCAACGATCAGCCGATCTAACTTAACCTAACCTAAACATAGGAAGTCTACTAATCCTCGTATAAAAAGTATTTATTTGTATTTACATTCAGACATTACCACTCAGCATCGACATGGTTTGGAAAAAAGAAACATTTGAGTGAGTATTGGCCCATACCTTTGAGTCATATGCCTATTATTGACTTTCAGTTAATGCGAAATAAGCTAAATACCACAAATGTAGCGGATGTGAGACAGTTAGGTGGAAGGAGCTGACGAGCATGTGAATGTACGGGTGAATGACTACGGTTTTGTGCAATGGGCATGACTTTGTAAATGAATAGGCATGGCTGGCATAAGGATGGGAGGCGGAGGGTGAGGGTATCATTTAACGGAGATACGATAGAGCGCAAAAGAGTGCTGATAATGATGAATTTAGTATGCATAGCGTTTGTGTCGATGAATACATATGTAGAATGATGAAAGTTTTAAATTCGATTTGAATTGGGTTTCATTCGCTGCACTTGCATTTTGAAGTTTTACATGAGCACTTGCACTTAAAAACTAAGTAATTAATAATAAAGTTTGTTGTAAATGCAATTCTTGTTTTTGTTGTTTTTATTTTGTGTAATAATAAAATACACTAAATGCCCCATCACGTTTGTAATTTACAGAAAAAAATTAACATTTAGATATTTTTAAGACATATCAATCAATCAATCAACCAACCAACTCAGCAACTATTTATTACGACAATTCAATTATGAATACTAAAATTGTGAAAATTGTACTTACTTGAATCTTAGTTTTTTTTTTTACTTATACAAACTAAATTTTTATTGAAATTGTTAAATTACTTATCTGTTATTTTGCTTCAAAATTTTTTTCTGGCTATTTCAGTACGCCCACAAACTGTTTATGTTCTGACACTTCGGTTTAAGCAGGTGTTAAAGTAACTAGATTAATTTTAAACCCTTTCGTTTGTGTTGAATCCTAAAATCGTTCTTAATGAAAACCAATGTAGTCAGAAGATTGTAGATATCTTTTAGTACTAACGCAACTTGCGGTGGGTTTCAAATTCGCAGACTCTTACTGCCGATTTCACGAAAGCAATTTAAATGAAAAATGATTTTAATTTTTTTAATTTTATATGGAAATTGACAGAAAATAAATAATGATTTTCCATTTAAATTGCTGGCGAAACCGGTTGTTAATCTCCTTGAACAGAAATTAATATCCCACCGAATTAGATGGGGAAATATTTGAGGTTATTTTTTTGGCACGTGCACATATTTTACTTATGCCAGGAAATTAAAAAGTAGCAAATTTCAGAACCAATCAATTTATCTGTTTAAATATGTCTTTGCTACTGAAAGTGCCAACCCAAACGTATTAAAATTATATTTTCATTGCCTTTGAAACACTCACTAAAACTAAAAGAAAATATTTGGCTAGGCTCGGCCTAATGTTTACAGCTCAATGAATATCGGCAACGGGGCATTGCACGGCAAACCCATTGAAATTTGAAATACCCCATGATGCAATAATGAAAGGTGTTATACGTTGGCAACTTCTCGCTCTAATCCGCCATCTTGAACTACCTTAGGAGAAACTGTGTTGTTTCTTTGCTAATTTCACTGAACATTTCCCAAAATATTAGAGAAAAATTCTAAACAAGCTACATTGATTCAATTTTCGTTGTTCGTTTTGTTCTTATTCGCTGACATTTGTTTTCTAATTGCTTGAAATTTGGTAAGTATTGTAATAAAACCGATTTATTTTACAAATTAATTATAATTTTGCATTTATTAGGTAATTTCCTTAGTGTTTTCCTGGCCGACCTGTGCTGGTATTGTAATTAAGAGCTAATACACGTAAGTTACAACATATTATTTTGACTTCATTGATGAACCATTCCATTTGCAGCATTCTCTGGTGAACTGCAGCTGCGGCCGAATTTGATTGTGTGCATCATCCTGCAGATATTTTGAAGTAAGTTGGAACCAGCTCTTTGTTATTTCAAAACCTAATGAACCATTTATTCGCAGATTTTGTGGACGCTTCTGTTGTGCTGCGTTCCTGCTCCGCCCGTGTTTTATAGTGTTGCGTCCCTGTTGCGCCTTTGCAATAGTGTGTGCGTTGTGCTTTAGACACGTTGAAGTAAGTTGAAACCAGGTGTTTGTTTGTTAAAAACCTAAAAAGCCATTCATTTGCAGATTGTTTATATGCTTCTGCTGTGCTGCGTTCCTGCTTCACCCGTGTATTAAATTGCAGCGTTCCTGTTAACATAAGCATCGTCGTTTAAGTACAAAACCGCGTAACTGACATTTGATGCTAAAAATTGGATTTGCTCACACAAGTTCTTGGCTCAATCCTTATCCATTCTTCCTGATACATATTAGCCAAATATGCGATTGCTTTTTAAAAAAAGATAACCATTTTGAAATATGAGTGTTTTCACTCTCTAGAAAATAATGTATGCAACCTCGCTGGGTTTGCACTATCTTGATACGCGGTTTGGCATTTTACTGATACACGGTTTTGTACTTTAAACGACGATATGTAGATGTATGTACATATATATCACATATATTGACTTAGATATGCATAGACAATTAATGTGTACATAATTTTTTTTATGTTGAAACTAGATATGTATATAGTATGTTATTATTATTATTCGGTTCAAAAAAGTCCTATCTCAAATGAAAATACTTTGAGAATGTGCTCAGATAGGGCGTTTTTGGATCGCCAGCTGAGATAGGGTGTTTTTGAACCGAGTTCTGAGATAGGGCATTTTTCAATCAAATTCTAAAATAGGGCGTTTTCCAGCCAAATTTTGAATTAGGGCGTTGAAAAGTTTTCTGATATCGAGTGTTTTCGACCTGGCTGCCGAGATAGGTCGATATTCCACTCAGCCATGGATAAATAGTCGCATTTTTCGGTATATGGAAGACGATTAAACACGATTGGTTATTATATCGATTCTAAAAAATCAAAGGTAATTTTTAGCCACTTCAAACTTGCATATAATAAGACTAAAATTGAAGGGGCTATAAAAAAAAAATGTGAATTTTGGGTGAAAATTTGTTGTATTTTTTGTAGTTTTCTACGAAGTTTTAAAATTGGGTTTTGTTAGGAATTGAACTTTATTTTTATTGTAAATTCTTAGAAATAAATTAACATGAGAGGGAAATAATATCACTTTGAAATAGGGTTGCTATTGATATGACCGATACTGTATGTATATAATAAATTTTGTACAATTAAAAATCAAAGTGCATTTACTAAAATGAACACAACGTATTAATTATAAATTCTGAAATATATTGTTAATTTCAAAAACAAATAAATAATTTGGATGTACGTGAACTTGGGTAATGTATAATTGTTTATATGATTCCTCAAAGTATCCCTTATATAACACTGTGGAACACAACAAAACCTTAGTGCGAATATATCAGGTTTGATAGCTGTTGGCATACGAATAATGCCTCATACTCAGATTTACTAGATCAATTCGTGTTCTCCGAGAAAAAAAATTTTCACGATCCAAAAATCTGAAAAATCTTTTTTCTCCAAATTTTGAACATTTATCGTTTTTGGCCTATATTTTATGGCAAATACCATACAAAGCAAATATAGGCCAAAAACGGAGAATTTTTTTAGAAAAGAATTTGGCCGCTATACTCAGATTTTTGAATCGTGAAATTTTTTTTCTCGAGAACACGAATTGATCTAGTAAAACTAAGTATGAGGCATTATTGGTATGGTCAACAGCTATCAAACCTGATATATGCGCACAAGAAGCCCATTTGAAAGAGGGGGACAAAATATCACACGTAAATTAATTCCTCTATTTGGCCTGTACAATATAAGGGAAACATTTCAAATTCACAAGCGATAATTTTCTTAGTGATGCGGCTTATAAAAGGAGTTATATATGCCATACTGTTCTAGCTGGGTATTATCAGCTCAAAAATTTTAAGCAAATTATCATATTCCTGTGAATAAAAACGCGCCTTATTTTATTATTTTAATTATCTACAACTTTATGAGACTACCAAGCCATATATATACCTATTCAGATAATCGGAACGCTGTTGAGAAGGCATAAAATTTAGTACAACGTACAACACCTTTCATTATTGCATCATGGTGAAATACCTAAAAATCGTGACACTCCTATGAATTTGTTTTTATAATTAATTATTTGGCATTTACACATTTTTCTACGTGTTTGGGCGAGCTTTTCATCTAATTTGTGGACTGGGTCTTCGTTTTGTCACACAAATGGAGTAACCTACAATGTTATATCTGAGAAGCTTTTTCAGACTATAGTCCTATGAATGCATTAAAAGAATTCTTCTCCAAAAACATGCTGCTGAAATTAACGCAATCGTGGATTGACAACAGGAAACATACAGGAACTATTACAAAATGAAGGTTAGGACAAAACACAAAAGGTGTCTATTTTATAAGAAAATGAAGTAAAAATTAAAACAAAATTTTGCGTTGGCGCTATCGAGAAAAATATTTTTGGCCCAGAGCAGTCCCTTGAGCAGCATTCCGCAAAACTTTTTGACGAATATTTTACGCTGTTACTTTAACGCTAAGCTACATATCGCACACCTAGATTTAAAATGCGATCAACCAAAAAAAATTTTCGGCGATTTTTTTTGCATAAAACTGATAACCTCCTCCTTTGTTGGGAGTCGGTTAAAAATCTACTGTTATACCTGTTTTTGTATTAATTGCGTTGAATTTGTATGATCCACAAGCAATTATAATTCCCTCTCTGAATTTTGAGTAAGCTCACGCTTTGCTTGGCTTTAACCCTTCTGATGTTTAAGCTAGAGCTGGAACCAAGACCGTCTCTGTCAGAATGGAGGCTGATAAAAGATTTTTTAACACGGCAATCGGGCCGGTAGCCGATTCGTTCTCTTGAAAAAATCAAAGCCCTTTTGGTGATAGAATCAGGAAAATGTTGCTACAGCTTCTATGGCCTCACATAAGGGACCATTTGGATTAGCATGTCCCAGAGGTGTAGAAGAGTACACGATTAATCTTATGAGAAGACAATTATGACAATAACGTCGCTTATAGCTAAAGCACTTCTTAAACTTACGCAAAACTTAAACGTATTGCGAAGAATGAGCAGAAAAATTCACTGTCTTTCAATATTTTTTCAATTACGAGTATCATAAAGCAAGTTGTTTTTTTGCCCAAAAAATAAGAATTAATAATTTGGAAACTGGTTAACAGGTTGTTATACGAAAACCTTAGCAAAACGATAGCAAATGTCCCACGAAAATGGCAATAATCGCAATGGTAGACCCGGATTTCAGCCAAATATCCAAACACTAGTTTACGAAAAAATATTCTTCAAGCGATGTAATTTTCAGTCACACTAAATAGGAGATGATTTAATAACGGCCATATATTAGGGAGCTAGAAGGGAGAGTTGATTCAGCAAAGCTTCTGAAAAGCCTGCTCTTAGTGCCTGAAACATGGACAAACATTATTTTTTTCGAAAATAAGTCAGTTGCATAAATACTGACACTTTAGGAAGGAAGAAGGTAGACTTCCTAAACGGCAATTGCTTTGCATACGTACAAAGTATAATGTTCCGTAAAGCCAAGCTGCAAAATGTTGCCAATGTATACTTTTCCAAAACGCATCCGAAAAGTTATCGAAACGTATCGCTAGAGAAGTCAGCGAATCACAAACAAAGTTGATGCTTCATTTGCATTGTTTCGCAATTTTGTTGTTGTAAACTGAATAAAAGATACAACATACATATATATATAATCTGATAGCCAAACAGGTGTGAACAATTGTATTGATACGATTTGGAAGTCGGCCGAATTTTTTAGAATGAGAATTTTCCGCAAAATATATTCATGACAAATAATCCCATTTAAATTTAAAAACAGAAAATTTCTACGCTTAGATATCTTGACCCTATAAAGAACAAAGATCAACAAACAAGGAACCCAGCAAGAAGACTATCGGGTAATTACCTATCGCCGATATCTTTGCAAAACTTCCTAAATCGCCGTTGTGACAGAAATGAGATTTGGTAACCCTGAACACCAGGCATCGAGGTATATGCATAAAAATCCAAAAATCGGTATTAAAAGAACATATTTGTAAAATAATAGCTAGAGAAAACGCCGCCTATCAAGGAAATTCCTTCAAAGAAAACCCGTTTTTTCACTCTCCTGTAAAATTTTTGTGTCGTAAGATAGGCGGTTTCTCAAAGGCATCAATGAAATAATTTAACCGAATGCGCTAACATAAGAGGCTGTCAGGGGTGGCAATGCAATACATTTCAAAAAGACTGTCTGATTGAGAAATTACAGAAAGCAGTTGCATGAGCCGTCACATCTTGCATGTAAAGTGTCTTTCGAAAGAGGTTTTCTTTATTTCTGAAAGACGAATCGCAGATTGCTGGTGCAGCATGAGCAAGCTGAAATCCCTGCAAGAACAGTGACTATCATTTGACAAATCATTTGAGTGGCAAGACTGACGGAGATTTCTGTCACTGGCTACCTACAAGTTTCTATCAAATTCTAAAGGGCAGTGTGAAAAATCTGATGTAAACATTTGTGTTCCGTCTTTCTCCGACTTAGGGCATTATTTAGTTGTCTCTTTTTAACCAACGCAAAGTTTGTAAATGTTTTAGTAAGGTAAATGAGAATGTGTTAGTTTCCATCACACAATTCTTGTAGGGATATATTTCCGAAATCGATTTGCGCGCTCTCACTTACAGTCACATCTTGCAACTTTTATTTCTGAAACTGATTTCCAAAATGTGACAGAAATGTCTTTCTGGCTGTTCACACATCGAAATAAAATTTTTCTTTCTCAATTTGTCCAACAAAACTACACGGAACTCTTGTATACTTTTGATCTTGCATCCCTTTCTTTCTTACACACTTGGGAGTCATGTGTTGGTATTATTGTTGGTTTAAAGAGAAATTCTTTCAATGTATTTAAGCTTCGGGTAATCGCGTTTTATACGGAATGAATAAGTCTCGAGATCAGACACGGAATCTTTTGCGCGGCAACTCGTTACTTGTGGGAGAGGAAGCCACAAAAAAAAGGGGAAGGGCACCAAGTTGTTCGTGCTCGGGGAACACGCCTTGTGCTCTCGTTCGTTTGAGTAATTCATGTTGGCGGTTCATAGCTGACAATTGTGTACAAAAGAGTTGCTCTGTGTGAATGCGACGGGCAACAAACACAAAAAGAGAGGTGAGCACCAAAAGTTTCCGTATGCGAACTCAGTCTAAGAAGTTCGATCTTATGATGCCAAATCGTTGCGAAATCGTCACGTGCAAAAACTAGGAACACGGAATACTAACAAACACCAGAAGCAGCGGGCTCAGTAAACCTAAGACAGGTATGGAAAGCATTTTGACGAAACAACTAATACATAAAACTTGCACGACCCAGATTTATTCTATTATTCGTGAAAAATGCATTTATTTCCCAAAAAGAGAACATTTTATCCTGTTTACGAAGGTTTCAGGTTCTTTCCCATTACATAAAATTGATAAAAAAAAACGGAATTGGTTAAACTAGTTATCTTTAAAAATTAATGAGCTGATGCCGTGCTACATTAGGGACTCAAAAACTTTCGCATTTTTAGCGAATCAAAAACAATTTAACTAAAATATATATTGTGTACCCTACATTTTACAGACCTAAATGCATACCCATTCATAGCATCATAACTACATATTTTTGTACGTATGTATCTAATAATCGCGTTAAATTTTTTTTCTCAAATTTCATGTAGTAGCGAAAAAAAGATCAACAAACTGTTTAGCAGACACTTACCATGCCTACGGCCGTTGCAGTTGGTGCGCCGAGTGCCGATTGTGGATGGCCCGAGCGTCCGGCCTGTAGCCTCTGAAGAAGCACAGCACGATTGAGATCTTCCAATTGCTTTTGTTGTTGTTGTTGATGTTGAGCAGCTACCGCTTGAGCGACCTGCGCATGTGCGTGCGCTTGTGCTTGCGCCACCTGTGCTTGTACCTGAGCTGCCTGCGCGTGTGCTGCTGCGTGTGCATGCGCATGTGCTTGAGCTGCCTGCACCTGTGCTTGAGCCTGAGCCTGCGCTTGAGCATGTGCTTGCGCCTGCGCTTGAGCCTGCGCCTGGACGTGTGCCTGTGCCTGGGCCTGAGCTGCTTGGACCTGTGCAACCGCTACCATTGCAGCAGTCTACGAGGAGGAGAGGTATAGATAGATAGATAGAGAGAAGAGAAAACGCGCAGTCAGTGTGGATTGTGGTAGCAGCAGACATGTCTGCAGAGATATTACTGATGCGGACTAGGCGAGGTGAAGTCTACTTCGTCGATTTCATAGTAAATTTGAATATTCGAATATATGGTTTGTTTGGTGATTCGGCAATTGAAGATTTACCCTATTTTACATAATGGAATGTTCTATCAGCTCTTTGAATTTTAAGTTTAAACGAGTTTTAGGAATGTTTGACGTAATTTAGACCTTGGATTGTTTTTAGATAAATGTAATTTAAGCTTCAAAATAACTATAAGGACCTAACCGGATTTTCTTACTTTTGCAATTTTAAAATTTGACAACTCTTACCCTAACGTATATCTAAGCAATTTCATTTGATTAACAATTTGAATATTATTGCTTAAAACAAAACCGAGGGAACACCATTTACAGCAATTAAAGTGACTAAAAACTCTTATATTTTCGTTAGGGGAGCAATTGAGTAACACATTAAACCACGCCAGATTGTTGGAAAAAAAAGAACGTGTATGCATTTTATTTTAAAAATTTCATGATTTATTTCAATTAAAATCGTCTTTTTATCTGCATTGTAAATTATAAAAATACACACAATATATACTCGTTAAGGTTTGCCGGAATTTCAAAATTGCAAAAATTAAGACAAATTATATAAATAATCTATTTGGGTTTAACAAACGATGCCTCACAACTAATCTACTTTATTTTATTTACGTAATCAAATGTGATCTGAAATTTTAGGCTGTGTTTGTGAACTTATTTCACAATCAAATACCTGCTTTTATATGCAATTTTTTTTGTTTGTCATATTTCATACATACAGGCAGGTTCTGCAATTAACATCGGAGTGAATTTAAGCTAAGTTCGCTTTGAATTCAAATTGGCAGGGGTTGAAATTCACTCGGAAGTGAATTGCAGAACCTACCTGATAATAACGGAATTATCAGGCGGGTTCTGCAATTCACTTCCGAGTGAAATTCAACCCCTGCCAATTTGAATTTTGAAATTTACTCGGAAGTGAATTGCAGAACCTGTCTGTATGTATTTTCTAAATTTTTAAGTCAATTTGTATTTTAGGAAATAGAAATGGAATTCTTAAATGCAAAACTGTCCCACTTATGCAAACATTTCATAATCTAACCTTATGTATACGTATCTGTGAATGAGTACAGCTCCACAAGGAGCATAATACAGCGGAGTTGCGACGCTCCTCTTTTCGGTTATCTTTACTATGCCGCTTTGTTATATTTTGCTGTTTTAAATTGTATGTATGTATATATGAAATCTCTTTGCAAGTATTATTATTTTTTTTTTTTTGTATGACAAATGGGCACTATATATTGTGCCGTGTAGTGTATGAAAATCTATGTGTACTTTCCCTCCCATATCCGCCTGTTCAGTAGTTATATTGACTATGGTTTCTATATCTATTGTAAGCACTCACTTCCTGGGCCTTTGATATAGCCGCAGCTTGAGCGGCTGCTGCTGCACTCGACGTACTCGAACTTGTTGGAATTGTCATGGATGATGTGCTGCTCACGACGGTATTATGATTATGACTGAGCGTGCCAGCCGATGTGGTGCGTTGTTGATGGCTGTTGCTGCCTCCGCTATTCTGTAATTTTTGTTGATACTTGGGTTTCCGTGCACGTAACTCCTCCAAGCTCATATCCTCCGGTGGATGCATGATTTTTGACGTTACACCAGCAGCAGTTCCGCTTGGAGCTGTTGCGGGTGCCTTTGGCGCTTCAGCTGGCGCTGTACTTCCTGTGGCACTGGGGTTATTGGTTGTTGGCGGTGCGCTAATCGTTGCATTACTGTGAAATAATGAGTTAGCAGAATGAGAAAGGAATCCTATTTTGCTTTACTGTATTTGCTTTACCTGTACGCAGGGAAAGTTGGCTTTTGAGAAACCGCGGCTGCATGCACCGCTGCTGCAGAAGTAGTGGCAGCCATTGCTGCCGGAAAAAGTGGTCGCGGCGGCATCATGTGTGGCGGCATCATAGGTATACCACCGGGCCCTAAAAATGGAGGCATTGGTGCCATAGGTGGCATATTTGGCATCATCCCCATTGGTCCGAATTGGCCCATCATCGGTGGCATCATGTTTGGGGGCATCATCATAGGCGGTGGTGCCGTTAATGGAACTGTAATTAGTAAGCAATCAATTTATACCGGTTAATTTTCATAAAACTCATACTTCATACTTTCAACTTTTTTCTTTGCGGCTGGCTCGTCGTCGTCAGAATCCGATTTGCCGCCATTTTTCTGTCGTTCATGCTCGCGCACATCCTCCGCTGGTATTCCATCCATCCCGAATATTTCTACCTCAATATTTGAGCGATTGGGCAAAGAGTTGGGTACCTTGTCTACAGTTTCTTTATGCACTTGCATACAGTGGATCGATAAACCGGGCCCTGTATATAATTTCTTGTGACAAATGTGGCACTTGAAATGTTTCGCCTTCTGATGTTGCACCAAAATCTTTTCATCGTCAAATTCACGATTGCAGTACCTATTTTTGTAAAAATAATTAAGGAAATAGCCGTAAACATAAATGAAAATGTTTTGCCAAAACGCCCTTAAAACGTGGCGCAGTGGAGCACCCGACGCTTGCAGCGCTGCTGACGCAATTACATAAAACAGTATAGACACGATCGTCACACAGGACAAGATATTAGTTTTCATTTCTTTGAAAAGGATACCAGCACCATGGTTTCGAGGCCTTCTTCTTCTTGCGACCCATTTTATTCCTGTTTTGGTTGGTTTTTAATAATCTGAAATTAGATTTTATTTTTTTATTGCAGCTATGCCACTGAAAATTGAAACTTTGCTGGCGAAAATTTTCACGTTCAAGTCAGATATAACAAAATGGCCTACTAAGATTTTCATATTCCTCTTTTGATGACGTTTACGAATCAGGGTTGATTTAGCATGTAACAAATCAGATGATTACCCCACATTTATACCCATGAGGCAAAAAAACAAGGTGGTATCAGTTGGGACAGCTCGATTTGATGCTGCCTTAGCTCAGTAGAATAAGAAGAAATTCGGTTCTTTGTTTAAAGTTGGAAATGAATACACAAAAACCTAAATTTTTTTATTAAAAACCTCCAATAAGAATACATGTCTCCGAAATTCTTGTTGCAACTTTGCAAGGTACAGGGTATACCAAGTGATCAAAACTTTTTATTTTGGCATGTCCGTCACAACATAACCTCACGTAAACAAAAATCTGGATTTAGGTATTGTACATTAATTGCCGCTTAGAAGTGTGAAATTACCTAAAAATCACAAGTTAATAATAAAATGGCTGAAAAACCTAAGGTTCGTACTAAACATTTATACATACACATGTGGCATAACAATTATTGCTCTGCAGACAAGTGGTGGCAATGATGGCAAAGAAAAGCGCCGCAAGGAATCTATCCTGGATCTTTCCAAATATTTAGAAAAACAAATTCGAGTCAAATTTGCGGGAGGTCGCGAAGCTGCCGGCATTCTTAAGGGTTATGATGCCCTATTAAACTTAGTGCTAGACAATACTGTTGAGTACCTGCGTGATGCAGACGAACCATTCAAGTTGGCCGAGGATACGCGCAGTTTAGGTTTGGTGGTATGCCGCGGGACAGCGCTAGTTCTCATCTGTCCGCAAGATGGCATGGAATCCATTCCGAACCCATTTATTACACAAGATGCGTAAATTGTATAAATGTCGTTGCTTTTTTAGTAACTACTGTACTTTATAATTTAACTTTTTTAAAGTCGCGAAAATTTGGTGGCAAAAATTGTATGCCCACTAGTAGTGAAACATTGTACATATATAAAATGGAAAAATGAAAATGTTTATGCTGATAAAAATAAATAAGATGTAAGTACATACTAAAGTAGAAAATAATTAAAATTTTTGCTAATATCTATTATTGCATTTAACAAGTGAATGGCAATGTCAGGTATAAAGGGCGGTTATTAGTCCAAACCAAATTCATTGCGTATCCAGGGATACTGCGTTGGACACTCGTTGCAAGTGTATAAATATCGATCCTGCTGTAACACTCGACTTCGCACCTTGCATGTATTCGGTATATTGCATACTATTTCGCGGGCATCCAATTGGCGAGGCTTGCATCCCCAGGGCTCAAACGTATGTAGCTGAGTACTCAGCACTGGTTGTCTCATCCACTGAATAGCTTGTTGATTTGTAACGAAATATACATCTGGTAGCATTTGCAAGTCATCCACAAACCGCTACAAACACATATTTAATAATAGAATATTCTTTTTTACTAAACGCATAATTGGTATTTTCCCAGCTATATATTTACCATAAAGGCCTGCAGGTAATCGTTATTCTTAAACCACGTTGCATGAAAATACAA